CCAGGTTCGAAGCACCCCCACGGGGCTTTAGGGTGTTTGGACTATGAATAAAGGCCCCTGCTGGGTGGATCATGCTGCTCAGGCTCCGAGGTCCGTACCACCACTGGCGCTGCCTGTTTTCTAGCTCGTTGAGATGAGAGAAGGCATGGCAGGCTGCGGAGTAACCCAGGCGTCCAGGACAGTGAGGCGTGCCTGGAGAGCCGTGGGGTGACTGCAGGCACTCACCAGATGCGGCAAGCTGTGATCTTTGGAGCTGACCGTCCTTTTCCCTCTACAGGGCCCTCTTCGCCTCCGTGATCAGAGGTGGTCCCCCTCCTCTCCAGGTCCTGAAGGACTGCACCGTCATTGGAGGGCCAGGTTTTTGTGCTTAGCATGGTGCTCCGTACGGGGGACTCAGTGCCCCAGACGATTGGACCTGCTGAATGGTGAGTTGCCCCACTGCTCCGCTCTCTGCTCCCATCCCCTGGGCCCTTGGCTGTGCCTGGAATTCTCACTTCTCCCTCTGAGCCATTTATGCCTTGGACATGCCGGTGCTATGAAAGGGAAGGCACAGGGCACAGAGAGAGTGCAATGGGCACTGGGATCTGGTCCCGACTGAGCTTGAGGAAGTTAGCTTACTCCTGTCTTGGAGCCTTGAGTTCTCATCTGCGATGGTGGGGAATCATGCCGTTGTGAAATTAAGGTTAGGGATTCTTTCTGATAAAGTGGGATCAGTGGCGATAATAGATGCCTGGACACATAGCGCGGCACGAGCAGTTGGATTTCTTCTTTCATATGGCCAGGACTCACTAATGGGTGCCCTTATATGTGTTCTTTGAGTCAATAAATGAACACAATAAATTAATAAACTATGAAACCCACTCTCGAAGGTCGGTGAGGGCATCCTCACCTTTATTTAGTGGCAGGTGTTTCTGCGCTCACAGGACCCAGTATTCTTTTAAAGTGATGTCCCTTTACTAGAGACTCGCCAAACTCTTTTTTGGTTTGTCACAGTAAAGGTCCTTTAAAAAATCATTTGCTGTAATATTATCCCCTTTTCTTTTTAAAGGGACCATTTAATTCAGCAGTGTAGGAGAACTCTGACTTAAAAGACTTGAGAACAGTCCATTACATGATGAGATGGATCCCCCGGGCGAAGAGGTGAAAGCGAGGCCCTGCTGAGAGGTCAGGAGACACAGGCACCGTTCACTGGTCGAGTTGGTCTAAGTGACCCTTGGACACCTCACCCCTCAGGGTACCAGCTTCTTTATCTATCGACAGATTAGGTTGGAACAGAAGGTTTGGGATCTCAGCTCCCACTCTCACATCTAATAGATAGGCTCCTTGAAAGGAGAGCAGTGGCGGCCTCGAGGTGCGGTGGGCTCAACGCTGTATCCCAGCCACTTGTTGGGAGGCTAAGGTGGGTGGATCACCTGAGGTCAGGAGTTCAAGACCAGCCTGGCCAACATGATGAAACCCCAACTAAAAATACAAAACTTAGCCAGACATGGTGCCAGGTGCCTGTAATCCCAGCTACTCCGGAGACTGAGGCAGGTGAATCGCTTGAACGCAGGAGCCAGAGGTTGCAGTGAGCCGAGAGTATGCCATTGTATTCCAGCCTGGGTGACAAGAGCAAAATTCCATCTTAAATAAATAATAAGAAAGAGAGAGAGCGAACAGTGGCCCTCAGCACTTATGTACCAAATAGTCCCCAGTTGTGTCTGCGTCATTGATGTATTGCCTGAGAACCTTCCTTGTTGGTGTAGTTCGCTCAGGCTTTGCTAGATGCTGTCTTTAGTGAGTGAGAGGAAGTGCCATCTAGTCTTCCTACTTGTAGTCTTCTTGGGTAGGTAAGTGAGAACTGAGGTCTGCCTTCCCTCCCAGCCCTCCGCAAAGGACAGAAGTCCTATTGGATCAAGGAGGCAGCCTCCTTGTGGCTGGAATGCAATATGGGCATTAAGGACTAGTAACAGAGTCTAATATCAACAAACATTTTCTATAAAGGGCCAGGTAGTAGCTATTTTCAGCTTTTCAGGCCATACAGCAGCCTCTTTAACAACTCTCAACTCTGCTGTTGTGGTATAAAAGCAGCCACAGGAGGCTGGGCGCAGTGGCTCACTCCTGTAATCCCAGCACTCTGGGAGACTGAGGCAGGTGGATTGCCTGAGCTCAGGAGTTTAAGACCAGCCTGGCCAACATAGCGAAACTGTCTCTACAAAAAAAAAAAAAATGCAAAACTTAGCCAGGGTTAGCAAAACTTAGCTGCTGCACTCCAGCCTGGGTAATAAGAGTGAGACCCTATCTCAAAAAATAAAAGAATAGACATTACGTAAGCCATAGACAGTATGTGAAAGAATGAATGTGGCTACGTTGCAGTAAAACTTTATGGATACTGAAATGTGAATTTCACATAATTTTTACATGTCATGAAATATATTCCCTTTATTTTTTTCGGCCATTTAAAATATGTAAAAACTATTCTTAGCTTGCAGGCGCTACAAAAACAAGCTGCAGTTCGGATTCGGCCCAGGAACCGTAGCTTGCTGTCTCCCAGTTTACATCACTCAAGACTGTGTTCTCAGCGACTCTTAGCGTTTCCACACCCGTTCCACTAGAGGGCGATCATGCTCAAGTTGGGTTTCCTTGGCTGCTCTGGTTTAACCCAGCCTGCGAGCTGAGAGAGCCTAATGTCTCCCAATTCTGATGTGCCCTGAGCCAACAGCTCCTTTCTGGGGCCTCCACCCCATCCTATATTTGTGGGGCCACAGTGAGTTACATTCCAGTTAAAGGAGAGCTCTCAAAAGGCTTGTCAGCACATGTTGGGACAGCAGAGACATATTGGCGGCAGTCAGAGAATGCACTCGTATTGTCAAGGAAGAGAGGTTTGGAGGGTACCATTGTGACAAAAAATAAAAACAAAGAGCAGTGCTCACTTCTCTCAGTGGCAGGATCCAGGGCCCTGCCTTTCCCAGCCCTCAGCCTCACTTTTATGAAATGGAGGAGTTTGAGAGGAATCTTTCCCTCTGGTCCTATGGTGTGCTAGCTGATCTTTGCCAAACTGTCATGGAGACACGAAGTGTTGCTATGTGCAGAAGAAAACACTGCATTGCAGGGAGACAACTTCTTTGTGTCCTTTCTCCCTCCCCCACTGGCCACCCCCGATTTTATGAAGTGCAAACCAGGACCCTGGGGCCTGGCAAGGGAAGAAACTGACAGTTGCTTCCTATATGGCAGCTGGACACATTCCTGCTCGGAGGCCAGACTCTTCAGTAATGAGATTTTTTTTTTCCTGGAAATGAAAAGTCACATCCCAGAATGATAAACTCCCAGGAACATAGAGCATTAAGGAAACCACTGAAGCTCATTGCATGCACTCCTGTCTCCACGCAGGACTTTATGTGACCTGGAACATGTCACATGGAAGGGACTCTGGAAAAAAGGAGCCGAGTCATTTTTAGTTCCCTATATTTACCTTTTCTGTGAACCCTAAAATACACCTAATTGCATAGAATGAATGCACCTAACTGCAGCATTGGGATGCAGAATTGCTTTTTGATAAATATCTACAGTGGAAAATGGAATCCTTATTTCTGGAGACATCCAGAGCTGGGTACCCCATGTGCAGCCCGGGAAAGCTCTGTTTTGCCTGAGGCTGGACTATGGGCCAGATGACCCTGTAAGATTCTCTCCAGGCTCAGAATTCTGTGAAGTTGAGGATATGGATTTGGAGACTGTTTAACACAGGATGCCCAAAACTGTGTCCTTTTCCCCCCTACATTCTTAATTCTTCTGGATTCTCCCTTCCCAGCCCCCCAGGCCCCGTCTTCCTCCTCCACCACACAATTACTCCCTTCCCTTCATCTCCTTAGCCCCTGGCTCTTTCTCCAGCCCATAAGCCTCTGTCCTGCTGGCTGGAGATGTGCGTGGTACATTGTTAGCCCTCAGTGGATCTGAGCAAGCATGATAAGCCTCAGCATCATGACAGCAGCAGCCCTGATGAGGACGGGGCTCCCGTCCCTACTGCCAGTGCTGCCTGGCCTTAACCTTCCTGTGCTTCCTCCACAGGACAGCCCATCCAGTACGCTCACTCCACCTGCGAGGCTGGCGTGGCTGAGCTCCACATCCAGGATGCCCTGCCAGAGGACCATGGCACCTACACCTGCCTGGCTGAGAATGCCTTGGGGCAGGTGTCCTGCAGCGCCCGGGTCACCGTCCATGGTAGGAGCCTCCGGGCACTCGGGTAGAAGCACCTTTCCTGCAGACATTTCTGCTTTGGAGGAAGGGCACATTTGTAGAAAATGGTATCATGAGCCAAAATCTAGGGAGCAGAGGTGCACATGGCACTTCTTCACACCATTACCAGCGGCAGCTGCTGTAACAGAGGAGTGGCTGCTGCAGCCTCTTAGGGGCAGAGGAGAGGTTCCTTAAAAAGTGCTGCACCTGAAGGTAGGAAATGAGGGAGATGACCTCCAGGAGTTCACAGTGACAAGGGTTTGCCATCAGAGGTGGGCTTTTCCTCACCGCCTCACTCCACTGGGGCCACGGAAAAATATGGGGGAAAGAGATGAGGACTCCCTTAGCTCCAGAAGCTCCAGGTCTGGTCAGAAGAAAACCTCACACACTACAGAAAGACTTGGGAGAGCACTCACATATTCCCCGAGCAGACAGTGGCCTCACCAGTGACCCCCTGCATGCTGGGGGACCCTGGGTCACAGTGTGCATATTGAGGCTTCCAGAGGGCCACAGGTTGTCCCCTTTCTGCCCCCCTTCTACTCACGGGCCCAGGCTTGTTTTTACACATCAGCAGCCTGGTCTCCAGTAATCTGATTATCATGGTCATCCATTCATCAGCCAAGCACTTAGTCCCCAGGAACTGCAGGGAGCCACAGACTCAAGACAGATCTGTCTGGGCTGTGGTATCAGCAGGCCTGGTGACAGTTCCCACAGAAGTGCTTCTTGGGTCCGGGGCTTTCAGGTAAGCCTGATCCCACCCTCACCCTGAGCCTATGCCCCCTGCTTCTGTGCATGACTGGGTCCTCTGGTGCTAGCACTGGGTGCAGCGTGACTGGCCTCCCAGCAGACAAGCAGGAGGATACATCTCTCCCTTCCCCAGGGCTCAGGCCTGTCAGGAACATCTCCGTATTGTATGAGTAGCCACTGTCTGGGAGGCTGGCTGCAGGAGGAAGTTTCGCAGAAAAGGGAAGGGGAAGAAACATTTGTGGCTTACCGTGTTAAATACTTTCACCTCACCTCTATTCTCTCACTGAGACCTCAGTAGCCTAGGGGACAAGGATGCTGTCCTGATTTCAGACAGAAGGCTCTGGATGTCTCAGGAAGTTAATGTTACTTGCCTAAGCGCATCACACTAGTTTGCAAAACTGGCCCCTGGAGCCAACAGCCTGTGACTTTCAAGTCTGTGCTCATTCCTATGCCCTGACCTTTTTCAGAGGGCACATCCCCTGGCCCAAAGGGGAAGACTGGCCACTGTGGACTGGGCAATGTCAATCCCTTAGGGATGAAGGAACTGGCACTGGTGCAGAATGTGGCGGATGCTGGCTCCATGAAGCTCTCTGCCAGGAGTGAGCACGCTCCCTGGGTGCTCTGACTGAAGAGGTGCCTCCGCATGGAGTTGTTACTGGGAAACTGGTCCACCCCTTCCTTCCAGGAAACCCACCACACTGGGCTCAGAGCCCAGCTCTGGCCTCTGGAAATGTGCCAGCCAGATTCTGGTTTACACACTTACCCATTTATCCTCATAGTTGTAACTTCATGACTCATTGGGAGCCAGGTGGGGAGCTCAGGAAATTGTGATAATGAGACTTCAGAGGAAACCTGAAGTGCTGAGAGCCTTGTCTCTGAGGGCCAGGGAGCAGGACTCACCTTCCACCTGGGGGCTCTTCTCGGAGGCCAGCGTGGCCCAACCCCAGAGTCTAGTAAGGAGCAGCAAGAGGCAGAATGCTACCCGTAGGGCCGCGTGGCTTAGCCCCCTGTTTTCCGAGACTCTCCCTCCACAGCCGCAGCCAAGGACTAATCCAGTGTCTGTCCTGGCTTGCCTGTGTTTAGATTGGATTAGAGAGACCCAGCTGAGCTAAGAGTAGCCCGGAGGTGGGAGTCCCAGGCGAAGGATCAAGAACTCTTTCGGGCCTTCCTCCGGACTCCCGGGCCTCTGGGGGCTGGGGCCTGAAGGATCACCACCCATCAAAAAAAAAAAAAAAAGGCACAGAGAGGTCTCAGGCAAAAACTCTGCCAAGGAAGTTTGGATTTGCTCTGAGAAGAGGCCTGCATGACAGAACTCCCTCCCAGCGTGGGGGATGTACTGGACTGTAAAGACCAGACAGGCTCAGATACCATAAATGGTGAACAAGGCTGAGGACGCAGCCGCACGCTCAGGCCCGGCAGCGTTTGGGCTGTCTCGGCACAGGATTGGAGCAGGGTGAGCCTGGCACAACGACACTCCTGGCGTGGTGCCCTGAGACACTCAGGAGGCTCGGGGCTGCTCCCTGCACTGTCCTCCGCTGTGGAGTTTTTCTGACTTGATTGGCAGCCCTGTTGGCTCCGGGTCCTGGACAGCATGGGCTGGGGGAGACGATCGCAGTGGAGGTGCTTCTTCCCTACTGCACTGACCGCTGCTCCACCTCTCCCTTAGCTGCCCAGGTCCAGCCCTCTCTTGTCCTTAGTGTGGCACCGGGCCATGTTGGGGAGCATGGATGTGGAGCCAGCAGCCTGGGTATGAGTCCTGCTCTGCCACTTACTAGCCCTGCACCCTGGCGTTAGTTAGCATACCCGACCTCACCTTCCTCTTGTGTGAAATGGAGATGCTGACAGTCGCAGTACTGTGAGGATTAAGTGAATGAATGTGCAGAGTATCCCCAGAGCATAGGATAGCACATACCCTCCATAGGTATGTGCTGTGATTATGATTGTCCAGCAGAGCCCACCTTTAAACAAGATACAGTCCTTACAAATGCCAAGACTGAGGAGGGCTTTTCCCAGAGGATCCACTTTGCCACGGTATTGTTTGTTTGTTTGGCCAGGGAAAGACCATCAGAGAATCAGAGGAGGGAGGTGTCCAGCCAGACACAAGCCATAGACACACGTGCCTGCTTCCAAGGGCTCTGGCCACAAGGTGGCGCCATGCAGCAACGCATGTCCCTCCCGTTGTCTTCTCTTGGGGGTGATTGAGGGACAGCTCTGCTGGAAGCAAGCTTATTCTGAGAGCTCAGCAGATACTGTGCCAAAGGCTGGATGCAGGGGCTCTTTCTCACCTCTCGCCTTTTGCCGAGATTTTAGAATCATCAAGATTGCTGGTGCAGCCTTCAGACATGATTTCTGCGGCCAGCCCTTCATGCTTTCTTTGCCTGCCCTCGTCAGTGACTCTCTTCTTCAGATCCCACAAACTCCCACAAATGTCACTTTCTCTGGGAAACCTACCCTAATCACCCCAGAATGCAGTCCCTGAACACCGCGTGCTTCTAGTATTACATTTACTCATCAACAAGTCTTTACTGCGTGCCTGTGTTGATCAGTGCCAGGCATTGTTCTGGGGACACTGCAGTAGACAGGACAGCTGAGGGCCCTGCCTGCAGGGTGCTTACATTCTGATGGGGATGTGGGCAGCAATCAGCACCTGGCCTCATTTTAAATGCTGGCACCTGCTGTTAACATGAGCAGGTCACAAAGGAATAATTATCAAGAGAAAAAGCCAGTGAGCAGGGTGTGTGAATCAAGGGGGTGAGAGGGTGCATCTTCAGTGCTATGAGGAAGGAAGCCTCAGAGGCGTCCATGGCCTGGGGAAAGAGAGTTCCAGGCAGGCAGTACAGCAAGTGCAAGGCCCTGAGTTGGGAGCAGGATTGGCCCGTGTCAGAGCAGCAAGACGGCAGCCTCTGGCTGCAGTAAAGTAAATGGGGAAGTGTGTTAGAAAGTGAGTTCAGAAAGGCGGGGGCACACCGTGCAGGGCCTCTGGAGGTGAGGAGAAAGCATTTTACTCCGTGAAAATTCACATTCATTTTACTCTACTTGCTTGTTTAATTATCTTCCTCTCCAGACTGTAAGCTCCCTGCAGGGAGGGACCACGTCACACGGTGTGTAGAGCCAGGCCTGCCATGGGAGCAGGCATTCCCAAGATGGACGAGAGCACAGAGGTTGCTGAACCTCCCCTGCAGTGCAGGGAGTCATTCCCTAGAATTCCTCGCTTTTCTGGGGGCTCAGTGCCCATTAGGGTGTGCAGGAAATCTGCAAATTACCTTTAAGAGTCCCTCAACAGAGCTGGGTGCAGTGGCTCACGCCTGTAATCCCAGCACTTTGGGAGGCCAAGGCAGGTGGATCACTTGAGCCGAGGAGTTCTTGACCACCTTAGGCAACATGGTGACACACCATCTCCACAAAAAATACAAAAATTCGCCAGGCGTGGTGGCTCATGCCTCTGGTCCCAGCTACTCAGAAGGCTGAGACAGGAGGATTGCTTGAGCCTGCGAGGTGGAGGCTGATCACACCACTGGACTTCAGCCTGAATGACAGAGCAAGACCCTGTCTCAAAAAAAAAAGAGTCCCTCAAAAAATATTCCTTCTTTTCCCAACACAGGCTAGGGAAAAAAATTCCCCGATGATTAACCAAGCAATGAATGCCCTTCCTCCTGACCCAGCATGAGTCTAAAAGATGATTAATTCAAATCCCTGCAGAGCCCAGGAAGATCTGAAATACAGTATGGATTTCACAGTATTTGGACTGAGTCATTGCTGGGGGCTTCCTTGGGCTAGAATATTTAAAATGTTTTTCCCCCTGGAGTATCTCTGTCAAGGCTAAAATTCTTAAGTGTCTAGATTTACTAATAGCCTGCTAGTTGTGCCCATTTTGACATAGTGTCTCAGCCTAATGGTTTGTTTATTTAACTGAAGGCCTGGTGGGCCTGTTAAAGGCATCTAAGGACATAAAATGTGGGTAAGTTAAAAAGATAAAAAGATGATCTCTAGAATAGATAATAAAATATAACAAACATATTTATTAGAGTATTTGTTTTGATGCAGAACTTTTAATGAAGACAACAGGCACCAGTGAAGTCAGCATTCGCTTGGCAATAAGTAGAGGCACAGTTTGTTTTCAGATTAATACCAGGCACTCTGCGGGGCAGCCTGGAGCCACCTCCTTTGTCTTCCCCGGTTATGCACAGGTACTTTGGACACTATACAATCTGTCCAGTTGACATAAGGTATGGACCCTG